AGTTCTGTTCCATTAGCATATTGGAGTTAATTGTCCAATTATAGCTTTAGGTTTGGAAGTCCCATCCTTTTTGTTTTCCTCTCTTTGGTCCACGTTGTTTATGCTCTTGGGTCTGAGATTTTGATCAGTTGTCCTTGGACCCCAGCTAGAGAAGGAATTGTTTTGTCCACTTTACTCTGTGAAAAGAGCTAATTGTCCCTTAATATGAAGCTCAGAACTACACACTAAAGCAGTACAGAATTTGAAAAATATAAAAGCTAAAACCTGGTTATCTCTACTGCACAGGAATGGCACTGCCAACACAGAGCGTGACAGGCAGCACCAGCAGAAATTGGAGCCGCAGCTCAGGTACATGAGAGGATCCTGGAAGAAATCCAAGCAAACAGGGTAGGTGGTTTCGTCCTGGAGGTATCTGATGGCGTTTCCCTTGGCCACGGTTGCTTACAGGACGGACTCGGGGCGGCGTGCACCCGAAGAGGCCCGGCCAGGCGCTCCCGGTGCCGGCGTCCCGAACCTGCCAAGCAAAGGCAACCCCGGGCGGGACCGACATTCCCACCATGGAACAGCGCCTCGGGCCAGCGCCAGCGGGGATGTACGGACAGATGGGAACGCAGGCAGCGGCAGCTGAGGCTTGGACGGGACGAGTTATTTACAAGGCAAATTCTTACCCCTCCGGCTGCACCGGGGGAGGCAGTGAGGCCAGAAGGGGGCTCCAGGAGACAAGAATTAAAGCAGGAATGTGGTAAGTGAGCTGAGTTCCCTGGAGCTCCCGCCCCAGCTTGGGAGGGTTTAAGTGAAATAAAAACTGGGTGGCCGTGGCGGTGCGGTGTGGCGTGACCCGCCCCTCGGGGTGGCCGCTGCCCCGCGTCCCAAAGAGCTGCGCCGCGGGACGGGCGAGGAGGCGACACCGGAGCCGAGGAGGCGACACCGGAGCCGAGGAGGCGATACCGGAGCCGAGGAGGCGACACCGGAGCCGAGCCCGCCGTGCCGGTGTCGGAGCCACCAGAAAAGCTGCCCCGAGGGCGCTGCCAGAGCGGGCAGTGCGGTGCGAGCGGCAGAGGGGCCGCACCGAGGGCGGCCCCGGCCGCCGGCCACTAGAAGCTGTGCCGGGAGGTGACTGTCGCGTCTGACAGATGTCGCCAAAAGGGCTGCACCGATAGGGGGGCGAGATGCGAATGGAACGTATAGAGCAGAATAAAATAAATAGAATTAAAGAGCCGCAGCAGGGGATGGCCACTGAGGGCTGCGCCGCGGGACGAACAGGCGCGGTCCCGCGGGGCGTCGCCGCTTACCGCGCTGCTTATCGCGTGGGGACAGCCGAGACGACAGCCAGAGCCGGGGCAGCCGCTTCCAGCGGCAGGGAAGAGCGAGACGTGCTGTTCTCAAATCAAGTTTAGGCCGCGGGACCGGTCCGCCACCCCGCACGCGAGAACCGGGATCCGTGTATCCCGCTGCCCCTCGCTCGCCTGCTCCCTTCTCCCTGGCCCAGCGGAACTAAGAAATACCTTTAAATCTAGCCGATGCACACACACACATAAACACACACACACACACACACAAAAGGAGAATCGGGGGTGGTTTTTTTCTTTTTTAAATTCATTACCTACATGGTGAGCAGCAACCCAAGATTGGTTGCTAATTAAAGCAGCTGGAAGGGGAGCTTCTCATAAAACCATTTGTCTCATAAAACCATAGGAGTATGGGCAGCACCTAGGATGAAGATGCACAGGTGGCATCTTGCAGAGTCCACCTACTGTGTCCACATCCTGCATCTCCTGGCAATCTGGCAATGACCACCTGAGAGCTACCAGCCAGCTCCTGGCCTCAGCAGGGCTCTCTGGCCTCATCCTGCTCCTCCTCCTCATCCCACTGCACACTTTTTCTCACTGCCAAAAGCTGTGGGAGAGGAGTCATGCTTGTCTCCAGCATTGTCTTTGTTGTGGGGAGACCCATGGGGCAATCTGTGTCTGGGGGGAGGGAAGAAGGTGGGGGAGTGAGCGGGTGCAGAGCCTTCTGCTGCCCTTCCCTTGCACAAGCTCCTCTTCCTCCTGAAATGCCTTTGACTTCTCCCCAGATAACTAAAATATCCCAAAATATTCCTCCCAAAATAACTCTGAATTCCTACCCCCAGTATAGCCTAATATCTGAATTATCCCAAATACCTCTGCATTCCTCCCCAAAGCCCCCATATTTTAATAAAATTCCTCTGAATTCTCCTAAAATATCCAATTTCTACTCAAATACCTCTGAACTTCTCCAGGGTCTCCGACAGAGCATTGCTTTGGTGGCAGCAGGAGCTCAGGCTCTTCTCCAGCTCCTTGGGGAGTCCCGAGGGGAGGTGGAGCCTCATTTCACTCAAGCTGGGAAAAGAAATTACAGGGAAAGGTTTTATGTGATGGATGTAGCAGCCAAGCACCTCTCCACAGCTGGACAGCTGGAGTGATAGGGACATGAAGCAACCAGTCGCCACATACCGGCTTATTATGCTCCAAACATCCTAAAAGGAAAAAGGGAGAAAAAAGGGAATTCAAGACCCCATAGGCAGCACTCTGGGACAGCTTTTGGGTAAGAACAGCACTCACCTGGGGCAAGCACCTGGCCTCTAGCTGCCTGATGAGTCTGTGAAGCTGTGCAACCCCCTTGGCCACCCGCAGTGATTTTTCGGCATGGGTAGTTAGAAGGTGTGGTCCAGCTCAGCCAGGCGCCCCAGCACAGTGCGCTCCGGCTCTGCCAGCAGCCGGCGCAGCCGCTCAAACTCAGCCTCGATGCGGCGCCGCTCGGCTTCACTCGTCTCCTGGGAGAGACAAGAAATGTATATGCAACCCTCAGACCTGAATTTTCCCTTCTGAGTTAAAGGACAAAAGTGCTTCCGCTGTATCCAGGGAGGCTCTAAGACTGGGGCAGGGCTGAGGATGCAGCTGATTAGCGACTGCAGGGTAATTACGTACTTCACCCCACAGTTCTCCTTTTCCCGCCCCTGTTGCCATTCTTCTCTATATTCTGTCCAAAACCAATCCGGGCCCTGAGAAGCATGGAGGAGTGTTAATTCCATGTTAACAAATACCCCTTTATGACTCAGTCTGGGATGAAAATGAGCAGCACCATGACATTAATTTAAAGTGTGGATAATAAGCAGCTGTACTTGGAGGTGGTGCTTGCCAAACCTTCCCAGGATCTGCACCAACCACTCCAACTGGATGTAGGGCTTTGCAGGGTGCCAGGATGCCTCTTGGAGATGATCCCACGTGTTTCTTCAAGAGGGGCTTGGGGAAAAATAAATACCCAAAGACTCATTCAGACTACTGAAGAACAGAGGGGACCCCCTGTACCAGGTAGTCCTGGTGTCTCTTCTGTTCACTCTCTCCAGTCCAGAAATTCTGCAAACACCTTCCTTAGGGATTGCAGGCAAGACTGGATTTTCTCCTGAATGCACAAAAAAACCAAAATCAAAACAACAAAAAAATAACCCACAACTGAAGCAATCAGCTTGTTTGCATAATCCTGCCTTCAAAATCTTATATTTTTGGGGGGACAAATGCAAATAATCCCCCTAAAAAAGCCCCTCCACTGCCTTCCGTGGAAAGCATGGATCAACTCCCTTTGTGTTTTTCACACAACTACAAGCAGGCACTAGAGCTTTGCTTTCCCACAAAGAAATTCGAATATTTTCACTTTGTGCCTCTTTTTCACGGGGAGGGAGAGAGGGAAGGCCTGAAAGTGATCTCACCTCACAGGTCTCCTCCAGTCCCCCAAAAGTCTTTATGACCACAGTCTGTGGTGGCTCACCCATTGCCTCCTGAGGGGTTTTTGTCTCTTCAACAGCAAGAGATGAAGCTCTGGCCAGTGTCGTCACCAGGGTTTTGTGCAGCTGTTGTGGCCATGCTGCCCTCCTGGCGAGGAGAAATGAGTGCTGGGGGTTGGCATGGCACAGGGTGAAGCTGCCTGCCCTTGAACCACCCCTGGATGTTCCTGGTCTCTGTTTCTGGCACAAGCTGCACCAGCTGGAAAACCAAATGTCATCACCCACAAGTAGTCTTTAAACAAGTTTTATATCCACAAGTGTGAAAAATGTGTATTTTATGATTGGCTTTTTGCAAACATTAAATTGAATACTATATGTATTATGTTATATTGATTAGACATGCTGTATCAACATTTCAATAGTATGGTAAATGTAGTTTTGTAGTTAAAATAGAAACTATGTATGTGAGTTGTTTTGGTTTTTTTTAAATAATGAGATACTTGCTTCGAGATAACAATCACAGAGCACCCAAATCTTCCAGAGAAGAGGAATTTATGGTTCTCTTATCAGAAGAAACTAATTTCTTCAGGCCTTGCTCAGTCTCGAAGATGCCGTGGGATTAAAAGAAATAGTTGACATATAGCAGACAGAGGTTCTTGTTTTAAACAGAATGCATCCATAACCATGAAGTATGTATGAATATGTAACAGTGTATAGTTTTTAAGGGTTAATCCTTTGTTCACAAAGCATGTTTTTCATGACTTAGCGTCAGAGAGCATCTGGACTTCTGAAATACTTTGCTTTTTTTTGTCTTGTAATTGTCCTAACTCTAAATTTTATTACTCTAATTGTATTACTATTTTATAACCATTTTATTTTAATAAACTTTTAAAATTTTAAAAACCAAGTGATTGGCATTTTTCACAACGTTGTCTTATTTCCAGGCATTGCTGTCACATTCCTCACCTGGAGGCTGCTCCCAGCTTTGCCTTGTTCACCTCAGTCATGTGTAAGGGGCCAGAGTCAGATTTTGGGAACTAAGGGGGTAAATTTTAATCAATTTCTCCCTTGTGGTGCAATGCAATAATGGGGCTTTTTGCAGTGCTTTAATTTTCTTCCCTTCCCTCCCCAGTGCCTGTGTTGAGATGAAAAATGGCCCTGAAATGGGGGGAAAAGGGGCAATCAGATGGTGCAGGTGCCCAAGCACGTCATGGCCCCATCTGCAGGCAAGAGATTGGAGGGCTCCTCCCTTCTTGGCTGATAAAAGCTGGCAGAGGCTGAGACAGGACTGAGCTTTGGCTGAGCCTGTGCCAGAGAGAGAAACAAAAAATTCCCAAGAGGAAAAAACGCAGTGGAGAAGCAATCAGTGGAAGAAAACCATCTGGAGGAAACCCAAAACAGCACCAGCGACAGCAAGGAAAACACCAAGAAGGTTTGAATAAGGGAGAAAATCCTAGTGCTGATAGGGGGTTACATCACCCAGATGTCTGGGGTGGGGGAGGAAAGGGGATTTTGAGCCCCATCCAATGAACTCAAGAGGAGAAGTGATTTACCCAAAGGTCCCAGGATCTTTGTTTTGAATTTAAAGGTATTTTGCAATGGAGGGTCATGATGATTATTTAGTTCTCTTCTACCTGTAACAATCCAGCCAGGGAATTTCAGTGAGAAACAGCACGGCTCCTGATTTTATCTCCATTTGGGTGATTTTATCACCTTTTTCTCACTTTTACTCATCACTCTGCTGCGTTAATCCGCTTATCTGCAGATTTGCTGAGGAAAAAACACATGGAAAAGAAGCAACCTGCTTGTTTTCAACTGTCACAGCATGGTTTATTCAATAATTTTGGGGCTTTATTACTCATGCCCGGGGACCTTTAGCATGGGCAATCCCTTGTTTGTGTGCAAAACCCTACACTGACTTCCAGAGGATGAATTTGAGGTCATTTGGTGCCAGCTCTTATCTCTCCCATACATATTTTCTCCAAGGTCAATAGCAAACTTCTTCCCCTCTCATCAGATTTCTCTGGATGTGAGAAGTATGTAGCTTATCTCAATTTTAGGGACTTTCCTCACTCAAATAAATTTTGTCAGATTTGATTGATGAATGGTGGAGGCAGAGATGGACTTAGGATGGATAGATTCAGCCTTCAGCCAGCAAGAGGATAGGAGATTTGGGGGTATAAAAATATGTATAATGGAGATGGGTTCATCCCAATGTGCTCCTCATGTTCCCTTCATAGTCATTAGGGAATTAATTTATTTAACCCCATCTCCAAGGGTGTTCCCATAAATGAATCAAGCTCTGTTGCAACTGTTGAACAAAAAAATAATTATATTTTCTTGAAGTACTTTGATTAAATGTGGTGGTTAAACACATTTTTTGACACAGAAAGGGGCAGAAGCTGAGATGTGACTCTTTGAAGGAAAAGGAATAGATTTTATCTTTTCTTTCTTTGTTCTGTGCCTCCAGTCAGGAAGAAAGGACTCTGAGGGTGCAATGACTTTCTTCCTCAAACCACGACCATGCACGTGGGACCTTGCCCTGGACTACCACACAGCCAAACAGTTTGAAGGTAATCAGAAGTGACTAGAAAATACCAATTCCTTGTGTCTTCTGGCCTGAGATGTTCAATGGGGTTGGACATTCTCCAGCTCTAACTTCTGTCTCCCTAGGGCCTCTGTCTCCAACCTCCATCTCTTTGCTTTTCCCTCTCCAGCCTCAACTGGATATATATCCTCCATCTCCAACTTCCACTTCTTCACACTTGTATCTCTAGCCTCACCTTTCCTGTCCCTTTCTCTTTGGAAAGTCACCAGCGAAGGCATTTTGGGGGTCTGTTTTCTCTAGGCTTAAATTTGGCTTCTAATTCGTTCTCTGTTTTGCTTTTCAGTGGACGTAACGCTGGATCCAGCCACAGCGGGTCCAGAGGTGATCCTCTCTGAGGACCTCAAAGAAGCCACCTGGGGTAGACCTCAATGCCAGTGGCCTGAGGGTCCAGGCCGGTTCGACACAGATCCATGCATGCTGGGCAGCGAGGGCTTCACCTCGGGCCGTCACTACTGGGAAGTGGAGGCCAATGGGCGCTTCTGGGCTGTGGGGGTGGCCCGTGAGTCAGTTCGCAGGAAAGGCCGAGTCCTCTTCAAGCCCAACACTGAAATTTGGGGCTTGCAGAAGTATGATGAGCTCTGCGTTGCCCTCACAGCTCCATCCAACACCTCCGTCCCACTCCTCAATGGGGAGATTGGGGTCTACCTGGACTATGAGGTGGGACAGGTCTCTTTCTATGCTGTCAGCAGCCGCCAACGCATCTTCACTTTTCCGGTGGCCTCCTTCAGTGGGGAGAGGGTCTTCCCCTACTTCTGCGTGCTCCTCTCAACCATTAAACTGTCCCCCAAGGGCTGATGCCCTGGAAGGATCCTCCCAAAAGCTGGTTGCATCATGGTGGTTGGAAATGCTCGTTGATATTCCTCAACTCTTATTTTCCAAGTCTTGGAGTCATTTCTATCTCAGTTCGTGGTCCTGCCTCCATCTTAGATGTCTCTGTTTTGGGTTAGGCCCAGGGGGTTTTGAATCTGAGCTCAGCACAGCTCATCTGAAGTTGTTAAATCCATGCAAAGCTCATTAACAGGAGCTGAGCTTCCCTGAGCTTGTTTTAGCTAAGAACTTCTCTTTTTTTCTTCCAAATACAACTTCCTCTGAAGGTTCCTTTTGCTGACCTCAGTGCCTATGATTGTCTGGGCTTCCAGCACAAATTACAAATCTTAATTTTTGCAGGCTTTGTATTAATACCAGAAGCAATACCTCATATTAAAACTGATTTTACAGTCACAAGGTTGTGCTCACACCCACTGCCCCTGTTCCTTTCCTCTGCTGTTCCCCATGCTTGAGATGTATTTCCAAGTACTTAGCATGTAAATATGTTCAGGATAGAATAAATTTCTTTTTCTCTAAGAAGTAGAAAGCATCTGCATTTGGGCCATCATCAAGTTGCCCCAAACCCAAAAAGAGCCCCAAGGGCTGCCCTGCCCCACCACCCTGCCCCCCCTGGATCCTCAAGAACTATCTCATGTGGATCCCCAAAGGCTGCCTTGTGCCAGAAACATCTTGTTGGCCCCTGGAAACCCCAATAACCCCTTGCCCAGGGATTTCCAAATCTTTTTGAGATGTTCTTTCATGTCCCTATGGTGCACCAGATATCTGGGAAGGAGAAGGTCTCCCTGCAGCACCCAAAGAGCTGACACAGAGGTTTGGAGGTCGTCTCATCCTGTTGCCCTTGCCTGAGCTCTGCAGCTCATGTTTATTACAAATCCAGCTCCTCTCAGTGCTGCAGTGGGAGGAGCTGAGCCCATTGTCATCCAGATAAGCACAGAGCCCACTACCATGGATCTGAAACCTGGAAGTACAGAGGACATAACCAATTTCAGGTGGAGCGGCAGGAAAAAGGAGAAAAGTCACACGCAGGCTTCCCTCAGCTTCAGTTCTCAGGCTTCCTCATGGGCACCAACATGCCAAAATATCTATACATATACCTTTTATAGGAATAGAACTAATTCAATATCAATATGCCAACACTGACACTGATCTATTTCTAATATGAAACCCAAAGATTTTCAAGAGAAAAACAAACTTAAAATAAAAATTCCAAACTTAGGATCTATTTCTAATATGAAACCCAAAGATTTTCAAGAGGAAAACAAACTTAAAATAAAAAATCCAAACTTAGGATTTTCTCACCAAATGCACCACTCCCATCTTTTAGGTCAAAGGGGAAAACAAAGACCAGTTCCAGATGCAATGTTGCCCTTCCCAAACAATGTCCCATTGCTACCTCTGGATATACCTCAAGTACAAGAAGAAATGCACATTCTGCAACTGAGGAAACACCAACCAACAACATAATAGTGAAAAACATGGACTCACAGGTGAGATAGAGGTGAGCGGTTCACCCATTGCCACGGCTGCTCCTCATCCGCCCGCAAAAGGCCAATCCAATGCTCTGAGATGCCTTTGTATCTCATCACAAAGCTCTGAAAGAGAGGAAAAGGAAAGAGTTTTACCTTCTTGCAATCAAAAACCTCAATTTTACCAGTTGCTCATGCTGCTTTAGGGCTTCTTTGGGGCTTGAACATTTCAATCTGCTACCAGAAAGTGCCATCTATAAACAGGGGTTTATTCCTACAGCAGCTGGGTTTGGTGAGGAATTCTAAGACACCTGTGATGACATACTCTCAAGGCCTTTTCCCTAACTTCTCACCCCAAATTTTTAACAAAGATCCTGGAAGAGCAGTCAAATAAACCAAAAGGTTTCAAATATACTGCTTTTTGGTTTTTTTACCCACACAGAGCAGGTCCTCATGTCTCCTTACCAAATCCTCCGCGCTGTCCAGCATGGCCAAGGAAGCACCAAGTGCTGAGCAGTTGTCCTGGCTGGATGTCCAGTTCCCCTCAACCTCAGAAAAATAGTAGCATTTTCCTCTGTACCTGATCCAGTCAAAAGGACACTGAAAGCAGGGCTGGGGATGAGGCTGAAAAGCTTGCACTGTCATTAAAAATAGAACAATGTTAACAAGCAGCACCATCTCCTTGCTTCTCTGGCATGGACAGATCATCCTCCATCCCATGGCTTGCAAAAATCTTACATCTGCCTCCACTGTAGGCAAAGAGAAAAATTAAAATACCAGGAGAGATCCTGTGAAAAAATAATCTCAGATCATGGCCCAGCTTGTGATGTTGATCAAGAAATACAGGTGCTGGACCTTCAAAGGAGGAAAACAGGGTGGTAGACTTAAAAAAACACATTTTAAAGAGGAGTTTCAGAGTAGCCCTATCCCTAAGCATGCCCTTGGATGTTGCTCTCTGACATTAATGCAAAAGTAGTGAAAATGACAGGAAAAAAGTCCTCTTATTCCTGCAGACTTCTTGACTTGATGGGACTCATGCAAATATCTCCAAGCCCCTTCTCTGAAAACAATACTTCTGTGTGACTGTGCTCCTGAAATGGCTCTTCCTGTTGATTTTCTAAGGGTTTCTAGATGACATCAGCTCCCACACCATGGGGATGAGTTTGGTCTTCTGTAGAAAGACTGCTCTGAAACTTCCTTCTCCCAGAGAGAACAGCAGCTTGTGCGGGCTTTGTCTTCTCCAGGAACATGGAAATAAATGCAACACACAAATGCAACGACCTAAAATACCTCTGAGACATTACCTGTGAGACTAAAACTTTGACATTCACCTGCAAATGCGATGGCTGTGATGAACAGGCTTGTGAAAAGCACTGCCAGCATCACCTGGCAGGTGACACGTGCCTCTGGCTTCATCTCCATGCTGTGACCTGCAGGAGGACAGAGGTTCAGTGCCTCTGCAAGGGCTCCCAGGGCAGCAACACACTACAGATCATGCCAAGATGATCAAGGGTTGGTCTTGTGCCAATGCCAGTGGACATGGTGTCATTTTGGGTGAGAAATACCAAATAGCCTTCTTCACATGGAACAAAATTAGTTTGGTTTTTTTTTATGGGAGCTCTTTGGGGAACAGCTTCCTCCCCAGCTCCAGATGCAAACTCATGAAATGTACCATAATTAAAAATTTGCTTTAATTTCTGGGAGTTACCTCATTAAAGTGGAATTTTTTTCTTCACCTAAACTAAGACACTTTGGGTCGTGGTGCCTCCATTTCTGTATCTTGTGATCTAGAATATGCACTTCACCATGAGCAAAGAAAATTCTGTTTCCTAGGGATTTTATACAAAAATCTTAGTGTTTTCATCTAGTAGGACTTCCCCCATTTTTTGTTTAAGATTTTCCTTTTTTTGTTCCCATCATATTAATTAAATTTCATGGGGAAAACCCTCCTTTTCCCTCTTCTTCCTGGAAAAATATTAGAAAGTTAGTCAGAAGCCACATATTCCAAATATTAAAAAAATAAAAAAGTTATATTAAAAAGTGTAAAAATCAACAAATGAAAAATCAACAAAAAATTTGAATATTTGTGTGGGGGAAAATATGCCTAGAAGAATCAGTTACTCAAGAGCCTCAGGAAAGGTTAATGTTAAATTAGAGTAACTCATCATGGTCTGTTTAGAGCAAAAACTCTATCTGCTGAGTGACAAAAATTTTCCCTCAAGGGAAGTGCCAGAAAAAGCTTTTTCCCTCCTACAACCTTACTTCAGCTGGATTTTGTTCTCAAATTACAGAAGTATCAAAATAAAACCCAAACCCAGTGATTCTACAGTTCATTGACCTACAGTTACCTGCCCGCTTGTTCCTTTCCATGCCCAAAACTCCAGAATAAATTCTCATTTCCTCCATTTTTTGGGTTCCACCTTTAAAGGTGCTCTTGCCTCACCTGCCAAGCAAAGTTCCATCTATCAGAGGTGTCACAAAGGCTCTCCATGCTCAATTAAAACTTTGTCACCATTTAAAATTTTCTCCCTGCACCATATTTAAACTTTTCTCCCCAGCTGAAGTTTTCCTTCAAAATTAAAGTCTTGTCCCTGCAACTAAAATTTCCTCTCCCCCCAATTAGTTTTATCTGCCTAATTATACTTTTCTCAACTCAGTTAAAATTTCTCCCTGTAAGTCAGGTTTTTTCCCCACAATCAAACTTCCACCCCCAAATTAGTTTTCTCCACCAATTAAAATCTTCCCCTATAAAGTCTCATCAGGTAACATTTTCTACATTTTTTGCTGTAATCAAAGTTTTCTCCCTGCAAACTTTTCTCCTGATTAAAGTTTTTCCCCCAATTAATATCTTCTCTCCTGAATTAATATTTTCTTTTCAGTTAATATTTTCTCTCCAAAATTAAGGCTTTCTCCTCTAAATTAAGGTTTTCTCCCCCCATTTAAAATAATCTCCCTCTATTAAAATCCCCTCAATTAGAATTTTCTCTTGTAATTAAAACTTCTTCCTGCAATTGAAATTCTCTCTTCCAGTCAAAATTTAAGACTACCTCCCCTCAGCCCCCAGGCCCATTTCAGACCCAGTCACCTGTGTCTGCTCTGTGGGAACAAGCCCAGGGCTGAGGCACAACCTGCTCCTGTGAAGAGAAACAAAGTATTAAAAAAAGAAAAGTTGTTTTGGTTTATTTTATTGTTTTCTCAGGGATTTTCCTGTGCCTCCTTAAGGGCAATGCAGAAGGGGCTGCCTGCCCAGGGCCATCTGCCCACCCACTGAACCAGGGGTTCCCCTCCATCTCACCCACGTCACCTTCCTTTCCCATATGTCCGGATTTTTTTCTCAGCTAGGGAGATGGATTGTCCTAATATGCTTTTTTAAAGTGTGCAGTTGGAGGAAACACTGCTGGAGATCACTCTGTTCCAGAATGTCATGGCACCTCAGAACAGCCTTCAGGGATTCTACAAAGGAGAAGTACGGTTCCCTTCAGCCCATTTAATAAGTTTTTTTACTATAAGAATATTAAAAAAATAAGCATTCTTGCAATTAAGCTACCCAGCTGCAGGGTTTTTCCCTAAAACGTAATTTATTTTGTGTTTTTTAGGGGTTTTTGTAATCACTGGTCACACACCACTGGAGCAGCTGCCTTTGCAGAGGGCAGGAAGGCCGGCTGATAGCAGCTCACCACAAAAACTTTCTGAGACAAAGAAAAGGCTGCGGGGGAAAAAGAAACTAAAAATAAACATGAGAAAATAAAAATATAAAAATAAAAATTACATAAGCACAAATTTAAAATAAATGTATTTTTCCATGACCTAAAAATCTTAAAATAATTTCAGAATAAAATAACACAGTGCTTTTCCTAGTGGGGCCTTTGGGTTCATCCTCTTACTTACCCTATTTCTGGCTGCTGGTATGTACTGGGGCAAATTTCTTCTTTTTTGTTTGCTTTTTTGGATGTCTGAGGAAAAAGCATCATTTTTACCTCTGTAAAAAGGTGTTGTTTTGGGATATTGTGGCACTGACTAAAACCTGGTATTCACACCAAAAAATCCTAAGAAAAGGGAGGGAAAAAGATCATTGTAGGCTGGAAATTGGTGGTTGTACCATGCAGTATTCGAAGAGTCCCAAACTTGGAGGAAACATAGGTCTAGTTGCTGTAAAAGGATACATCAGGAGTGGGAGAATCGGTGTGAAGGTGAGAAAGTCAAAATAAAGTAACAAAACAAAGATCATTAGCAGCCTGCAGGAAATCAAGGTTCTTACCTCTTCCTGGGCAGGAGCTGTGCAACCCTTGACTGCACTGGATCTCTCTGCCTCAGGATAAAACAGAGGATAAATATTGTGTCAAAACCAGCAGAATAAGTCATATGGAGCAATAGGCATTTCAAGTCACTCCCAACCTATATTTTGCAGAAAAAACACCAAATGTTACCTGTCTCCTCCCCATTTGCCTGTGGTCACACTGTTCCAGCTCCTAACATGCTTCAACCGCACAGTCAAAAATCTTATTTAAAAGATTTTTGAAATGATTATTTATTAATTCTGCATTCACAGATGTTTAGCACAACCACCAAACTCACAGATGTATCTGCACCTCCAGGTGTGCCACCTTTTCCTAGCTGCAGGACACCCATTCCCTCACCACCTTCTATTTACAAGGGAAGGGTGCAGAATACATACATACATATATACATACGTATGTATGTATGTATGTATGTATGTATGTATATGTTTGTTTGTATGTATGTATGCATGTGTATTTATATATATATGTACAAAGAAAAAAGCAGATAAAAGCCCCAGCCAATAACATTTCCTGAAGCCAGATGCAGATATGAGTGCGTAGTTCACAAGGCAAGGGGTTGTCCAAGGACAGTGTCACTTTTGGTCTGCTCCTGGGAGCTTCTGAGCAACCATGGCTGGGGAAATAGTTTATGCTGATTTAAGGCACCTTGGGGATGGTTCTTCTATTCAGAAGCATCACAGTAAGTCCTACTTGGGAGGGAAAAGTTTGTTTCAAATTTTGGGAAGATTTTTAGATTTGTTTACTTTAAGGTTTGCTTGCTTCTTCATCTCCATGTTGAGGTTTCCAAGATCATGGAGAACATTGTTGTGGGTTAAATATCTTCTAAGGTAGGATCCTGGCTTGAAAAGATGGGAAAGAGAAAGGAAGGGATGGGAGCACGTGACGGATATCTGGAAGACATATTGCTTCCAAGACTCTTCACCTGGGGGCCAAAATGGGTGCCAAGAAACCCAACAAGAGCCAAAACACCTGAATGGAAAGGAAAGCTGCTGAGATCCTGTCTGGAATCCTGGTGGAGATGAGAGCTGGAGTGACATTTGTCTCACCAACTTCCAGCTCTACCTGGAACTCTAAATTAAGCCAATTTCAGATAGTCTCCCATCCCCCAAGCTGGGGAGTGCCCAAGGGTGCTCCTGAGGCTCCTGCAGCCCCTCCTCCACCTGAAAAACCACTCAATCTAGACCACATCAGTGGTGATTTACTTTTTTGGAGGAAGCAAAGAAGCTGTAAACTTCTGCTTAAACTCACCAACTTGACAGAGGGGCTTTTTTTTTTTTTTCCCCTCTATCCCCCAGGCTTTTTCATCTTTCATTTTATGAAGCAAATATGTCTCTTTCAGCACCTGCCTTGTGTCCATGGTGGCACAGGCTCCTTCTCATAGCCGGTGGGCTGGGGCAACTCATCCTGCTGGTCCTGGTGGTGGTGCTGAGTGTGTGGGGTGAGTAACCAGCTCTTATCTACATCTCACACTTATCTACATCTCACAGCAACCAGGGAGGGGAAACTGGGGTTTATTTCAGCATTTCAGTCTTTGGAAGGGGCAAGGTTGTCCTGTAGACATGCAACATCACCCATCAAGAATAAACCCATTATGAGTAAACCTGGATTATACCCATAGCTATCAAACAAGGGTGATGAAAACAAACCATGTTTCTCAGGCTGGCTTAAGAAACTGTATGAGAAAATGAAACCAAATTTTGTGGAGTTTGTTGTTTTTTCTCCAAATGGCTGCAGCTTCTTACCCCAGATTACTGTTCCAAGTTTTCCAGGGCTCCCCACAGCCAGTGGTGACAAGCGTTCCGCAGCTAGGCAGTGGGATCCACGGAAGGAACCAGGTGGAGCAGTGCATGTTTTCATCCCTGGTGCAGTATTTCTGCAAGCCCCAAGGAGACAGCCCCACAGCTAACCCCCCCTTCCCATCCGACTCTGCTGGGAGATGCTCAGGTGAGACCTTTGTGGGGGTCTTCTACTGCAACGAGAGAGACCCTTAGACCCTTGGAGTTGTGAGACCACAAGGGTTATTTGACAAAAGGAGTCTTTCAGGAAGAATCCTCTTCTCCATGCAATTTTTGCTGATTCCTCCTCCATGGATGAGCAGCATCAGCCCTAGGGAGGAAGTTCCTTGCCACTCTTCCTCCACCTCCACCAGCCAATAATGTCTTTGTGGTCACCCAGCCTCAGTAACCTTCCTTCTCTCCAATGGCTAGCAAAACCACATAGATGTGAAAAACTCAGCAATGGGGAAAGACCTGGGGTGTGGGATGGGGAATCCCTCAGTACCTTCAGCTGGTGGCTGGGGAATAACCTGACAACCCTTTGGAGTGTCTCATGGCTTTTTCTCATCTTCAGCCTATGCTGGTTGCAAGCTGTGTCCCCAGGACTGGCAGCTCCATGGGGAAAGATGCTACTGGCTTTCTGAGGAATTGGGAAACTGGACTCAAGGTATGAGAAGCTGTGAGAACCAGGACTCCCAGCTAGTGGTGCTCCAGGACAAGAAAGAAAAGGTAAATAGGGAGAAGAAGGCTTAAAAAGGACACAAAAATCCTGATTTTTAGGTGGGCAGGGAAGAAAAAAGTGCCTGTCAACAGGAGGGTTTGGGGGAAATTCATGTCTCAGTGAATTTAGGAGTCAGATTTACTTTGTGAAATTTATTGCCATGAAGCCCGCCAGAGAGAGATCTCAGGAGCAACTGGTCACTTCTATTTTCCAGGAGCACATCAAGACTGTTACAGGCAAGAGCCCACCACCAGTGTGGATTGGATTAAGGTCACATCAGAAGGCCTGGAGATGGGTAGATGACACACCTTTCAACCCCAAAATGTGAGCGTATCCACAGTTTGTTGGTATAAACAGCAGCTTTGCTCCGTTTCAGACCCAGTTCATGTCCTGACCATTCTCTCCAAGATGCTGGAGTTTATGCAGTGTCTCATATTCCTCCCAGCAAAGCTCTGTAGAACAAAGGTTGGGGAACTGTACCAGAGCTCAGTAATAACCCCACAGCTCCCACCAGACCCATGCAATAACATGGCTTTTTATGCTCCACACATGCTCCTTGCAGATCTTACTGCAGGTACAGCAACTCTCCTCAAATCTGGTCACCCTCCAGCAAGAAATGATGCGTGCATGGTGAGACAGTGGGGGCAGAAAAGGGCAGAACAACCCAAACCCATCTCTCCCCTTCTGCAAGATTTGGAGAGTTTCCTCCTCTTCAGCAACACAATTTTTGTTTTACAGGCTTGGCACCTCTCTGCACAAGATGGATGAAGGGTGTGGGACACTGAGAGCCAAGGACTTTGAAGTTAATAGATGTGATGCTGAACTCAAGTGGGTTTGCAAAAAAAAGCCTTTCCTGCTCTGCTCTGCAACAGCAGAAGATGGAGAATAAGTGATGCCTCCTTCTGCCTCGTCCCAAAATGCCCAAGACACTTGCTGCCAATATTTGGGGTAAAATAGCCCCATCCTCACAGTTACAGCTTTGCAGGAGATTTCAGGGTTTGCAAATCCTCTTCCTGTGAGGATCAAGACCAGTTTTGGGGTCACAGATGAACCTCTGAGCTGGAGAATCAGCCCTCGGGCACAGTGTTGATAGAGTTGTGGCATCAATAAAAGCTTATCAAACCGATTTGTTTCAATTTATTGAAATAACACAGGCAAGAGCACAGGTGGCATATCATGCAAAGTTCTATATAAACATTGCAGATTTCAACTCAAAAAAGCTTTTGTGAGTGGCAGATATTACCTGTATGCATCTCTCCAGGCCCAGCTGAGAGTGTCAGCACACTGACGCAGGCAATTGGGTGGATGTGGGCAGGTGGTTTTGCTTGGTTTTGTTGTTTTTACCAAATTCCCTCCCCACTCTTTTTTTGATCTCCTTCAAATGGTAGAGAAATCGGGAAGGGGAAGGGGAAGGGGTTTGGTTGATATTCAAGAATCCTCTCCTACAAGATCAAAGAGCTCCATCACAACAAGTAAGAACTGAAAGGCAGTTGGGGTCTGGAACAATTATGTTGTTCCTAACTGAACTCAAAAGGAAATACACACAGGAGTGAAAGCTGGGACAGATTATGCAGGAGGAGCACAGAGCTGTTGTGATAGCACCAGGAAAGCCAGGGTCAGCCTGGAGTTGAAACTGGCAACACTTCTGCACATGAAGGGGAACAAAAGAGAATTATATGTGTAGTTGTAGCAAATAGCAAAAGGAATAAAAGGACAACTAGGGAAAATGCAAACTGTTCCTGGATAGGGTAGAGGTGCCAATTTACACATCATACTGGATTTTGTGATGTGAAATAATGCCATTACTAGTTTGTGGAATAAGCACAAAAACCTTCTGAATGAATCAGTGCAAAACTGAGTCCACAGGAAAGATGACCCTCCCTGTTCAAAGCTATTGTATACAGAAATACACTCATATTAATAAAACTGAAGTCAGTTTCATTGTTTCTTTTGCATAATCTAATCTATAATGTAGTGAAAAGTATGAAAATATAATCATTCTCGGCTGCTGTTGCTCCTTTTGGAAACAATGAACCCTAGAAAGAATAGGCAGTGGGAAGCCTTACAAAAATACAAAAATAAAAGACCCTCAAGAGAAGAGTGAGAACAGGCAAAGTGAAAAAAAACAAGGCATGTACATGAGATAAAGAAAATGGACAGAAATCTGGTGTCCCTAAAGGCCACTGGTACAAAGAATCTTGAAAATCTTTTAAGTTGACTGGACCTTTCACACCATCTGTGGATGAAGGTATATAGCTAAACATAATGTTTTGTAATTAGATCTTCTACTGGCCTACCGTGTGACAAACAAATTTAATTGTTAGGATAGCCCATACTTGGCACATTCTCTCAGCACTTCTATATTCTGAAGTGCACAGGAGCATTCCCCATGCTTAAGAGGATCAAAGAGATAGTCAAACTCGAGTCCACACAAAATTGCCACCACCACTCCAGTCCTTCCTTCTTCAGACTGATATGATAAGTACTTGTTTCAGGCAACTTACTGGAAAATAAGGAGAAACTGTCATCACTAATTCTCTATCCATAGCACAACAGGCAGGAGTCAGTTTGCATTCTGGGAACAGAAAGTCTCCTGTGCTCCCTTCATAAAATCCACAGTCATCCCCTACTGAAGGAAGAAAAACACACTATTAAAAATAGCTGTCAGGGTTGTTACATGGAATTGTCATTGTTGTATAATGAAAACTTCATGAATTTACAAATGTGAATGAATGAGAGTGAATGTTCTTGACAGACTACTGCTTGTCTCACGCATAGTGATGCTTCCAGAAGCAGGAGGTAGATGGAACATTAGTGGGCCTAGGAAGTGTGGTACAGGAATGGCACATGTTCCACAGGATTAAGAATTGTTTGATGCTGGAAATGTTTAAGACAGCAGCTACTTTTTAGCGTACTGTCAACCTCTATTGTCAGGGATCATTTCAGTTTGCATTCCTGAGAGCCACAGCAAACAAAACCATATAAATACAGCAAGCCCAAACCATTTGGTCCTGTATTTGTATATAGGAATACAATATATTTGTATACATATACATTTGAATACAGTATATTTGTATATACAACAACACCAGGAGTTTGTTGCCTGCTTGAGTAAAAGAATAACTATATCTACAGAAAATGGCTTATTCACTATATCCCCAGAACTCTTACTTTGCTGCATCTGGTTACTTTGTTTTCTGAACAGGAAATGAAGAGGATAGGAGATTGGAAAACCACTTATGTTTACCCTGGTTTTGAAAGATTTGGTTTAGCAGAGCACTTATTATTATTATTATAACAAAATTATTACTAATTATAACAGCAGTTATTTGATGCTGTTATTAACTTTCAAAGCATCACAGAGAAGTCAAAATATGTTGGGGATGGACACAACTACAAGATTTGAAGGCACACTACTGTGGCAAGCACATTTACAACACACTACTTATTTGGGTTGTAGAGAATGTCCAGAGTTGTGACAGAGGATGTCATGCTAATGCATATTTTATAAAATATGTATAAGGCATGTGTTTATACACAGATTACTAAATGTTGATCTTGATTTCTTGATGCTTTTAGTACAATTACAGGTTGTCTCACACAGGGAAAAGAATTAAAAAATCTAAACTGCCTACTGCAGGAATAAAATAAAAAAAAAATTATATGAAATTACAGCATTCTAATGTTTGTTTAGCAGACATCACATGGTAGTGTTGGAAGACAATCACCATAATTTTCAAAATGTATTTCCTCCAGAGAGCCAGAATGTAGTAAATGAACATTGTGTAATTTGGCCAGCAAACAGTACAGCATGCAAGCAGTGTCCTACAAAAGGAGGGTGTAAGTATCCATGTATTACAAGCAAAATGGTGATGCTAGTCTCTCAGTGACAAGGCACAACACTCAACAACTTTGGCTTTGATGAGAACATGGCATTACCAGTACACAAACCCTAATCAAATGGGGGACCAGTAGAACTGCATGGGAGTACACCTCAAAGGGTAGCACTGCAGGGGTGGATAATAAAAATTGCACCGATTAACTGACTTGCCTTACATATATGTGCAAATTTCTGTTTTGTTCTAGGATCTCACTGCTTTTGTCTGACTTCAAAGACTGGCATCTGGCCTTCACACTGGTAGCTGTGCAAAGCTGAGTGCAGGTGATGAGGAAGCAAGCTATCCCAGTTACTTTCACAAGAGAAAACATGCCTTATGTTTTATAACATAAAGCATATGTGTGACTCTGCATATGCAGATGGGAAGAAGTAAGGTACCCCAGGTTACCATGACCAGATATAATGTGCCTGGGATTGTACATACTTAAATGAGGGAGATGAATTGTCCTGGGTTATCATAGTACAGTATTGCTAAGCCCTACACCACACTGCCCTTAGCTCTTTTCTTCCTTCAGAAGCCTATTAACTGTGTTCTGAGTAAAGGAGATCAGTGCTGCTCCACACAGGTGGCACAGCCAGACAGAGAAAATACTTCAATAAGCTCCCAGCCCAGGAGGCAAGCTATATGGCACACTGTCAAGTATCTGGCTTAGAAACTTATAGCAGGGGTTTTGCCCTCCTGAGGTGTGACACTAATGGATATTCTGCTATAAAAGCTGCTGCTGCCTTCACTTGGACATGCTCCGTGCCTTTATAGAAACAGGACATGTTCACTTCTAATCAGAAGAAAAACAAACCCTGCAAACCATGCTAGAAGGCTGACAATTTTCAGCAGAAGTTAATAATGAGACTACCATATTTGATCATATTCCAAATTTTATCTTTCTTAGTCACACTGTTTTTCTGCCTTTCTAATGGATCCCAGCTTTACAACAACTAAGGAAAAGCTTTTGTGAGCTTTTGACACTCCAAAAAGAAGGCAATACTAAATTTTCCCATATGAAGTCTGACTTTTGCTGTACCAAGGACATAAGTAGGCACTGGTTCCTCTTGTGAGGCATACATTTTACTTTTGTCAATATATTTTAAATGTAAGAAGTTGAAAGAAGATATTATACCCCACAGTACAGTAAGTAAGCCAAATCTCAAAGCTGCATATTTTTGCAGAGCCAAACAACAAGAATGAAAACAGATTATATTTGATGGATGAAGAATATGTCACTATTATGCAGAATAAAGAATAGATATTCTAAAGGGCCAGAATATGCTGGTGATATTATTAAATCCTTTGGCATTATTTTAAAGAGTGTCATCCCTTTTAGAGGTATTACTGATCAGTCTTTTCTGTCCTGACATACAGAAAAAAATATGCTATACCAAGGGCACAAACAAGCTTTATACACTACACCTAGTTATCTGACACCACGATATCCACAAAGCTTGTACGAAAGTAATCATACAAGAAAATGAGCAGTCTTTGTACTAAGCCAGATCACCCTCTTTTTTTGCCTTGTTTAGGCTTTTATTTAGAGCTAACAATAGATTATATCAATTTAGTCTTTGCATCCTCCTTCTTCAGTATCACTGATGTTTTTGAACCAGGAATAATATCACAAATTACCCTTTAATATATCAGCAACTCTTCAAAGCATAAAGCAAAAAGGAAATGGAAAGATAACTATCTGAAGCAAAATATCTTGAAAAATAAATACTAAATGTACAAAAAATATTTGTTACACAGGGAACATTGAGTATATTTTGAATTTGCTGTAACAGAATAATAACCAATTTTAGTAAATAGTCTGCAGTTTTAGAACCTACATGAATGCTCCATAATCAGTAACCTCAACAATAGCACTCATCTGCCACCCAGTGTCCATTTGCCTTTTTCCCATCTTACAAGAATGCTCAATATGAAGCCTGAAGATGACTATCTAACAAGAGAAACTTTACATTATTGTGTTCTGTTGAAGGTAACTAGAAAACTAGACTCCTATAAGAAACAAGAAAATTATGGTGAAGAAACTAAAGCATCATGACTGATCCTAACAAATTATTCAAATCAGAAAAGAAAAAAAAATTTTCTTCTCAAATGTGTACCCACAATATACAAGAAATTATGGAGTAGAAAGAAATACCAGTAGAGGAGATCCTTAAATTTATAAGGGAGAGAAAGCTAGGTGGCATGACATAAAACTAGCATCTTTAGTATCCTGAAAAATATCCAAGATAAATATTTACTTGCCTATTTTCTGAAGACACAAAATGAATTAATTCAAATTTTATTGCATAAAGTGGGAGATGAAAAACAAACTATAGCAGGGTGGCTGAATGATAGAATAGATTTACTATTTACACCTGGGACAGTAATCAAAATCTACCCTTACAGAAAGGAATGGAGGAAGGACAGCAAAGGAATCAGAAGAATGGACAAATGATAGACGAGAAAGGAGATAGATGCAGACCTACTTTCCACTTTGGTCCCTTGAGTATTTGTTCTAATATTATTATTATTATTATTATTAGAATAGACACACACATAAAATTAGTATCAGGACAGTCAGTCTCTGTGATTGAAACACTTGATGGATTTACAATCTATCAAGACAATGGGACAGTCAGGGGCTTCTTCTTGAGCTTCTGTTGATTTTACAGGAATGGCTTGCTCCAGAAGGACAAAACCCTGAAACCCTTATAAGACAAAGGAATTCCAAGTGAATTAAAGCTTGAATTAAAGATTGAAAATATTTTAACAAAACGTGTGCTTCCATAGGTATGACTGACTGTTGAAAGTCCAGTAGCAATGGCAAAACAGAATGCAGACAGGCCATTGTTATAAATTTTTTTTCCTCTCCCCCATCTGCCTACAAGCAACAGATTTTGGCTTTTAAAAGACTGCCTAACTATTAAATGTGACATGACTTGTCACAGACTTCAAAATGTAAAATTGCTGATAGAAAAATAAAAAGCACAGTGTCAGGTTAGCCTAGTGTGTCACACTAGGTTTTAGAACACAGCCTGTCCTAAGAATGGAAAAATCATGTAATTGATTTGTGGGGAGCTTGCTTATAAAGACTGACATTCAAAGGGCTCAAATAAGTGCAACATAAAGGGGGACCAACCTGTACCAGGTCATGCACTCTGGAAAGACAGTCAGAGAAACAGACTCACTATGTGACTACATGGATCTACTTTTTCAATTTTAATTATCAGCTATTCAAACATCATACTTACTTTCTGCATTTTGATTTTTGTAGCAGGATCTAAAGCACCTTCACACACCTTTGGGAAAACAGTAAGAAGTAAAGAAATTCATTAAACAAATAAGCATTCACAGGAACACTTTAATACCTATTCAAAATAATTCTCGTATATTTTGCCGAGCCACCACTGAGCAAATAACTTAGCAAATATTATATATTACTGTGTACTTTATGATGTGGTTTGCATTTTTAAAGTTATGCACAGTTCTGGAAAAAAACAAATCTGAAAATTCATATTCATTCATATTGGCATCAACATCAGAACAGCCTGGAATTTGTAGGGAAAAAATACCAGGTTCACAGTACCCTAAGTGCAATTCTTTGTACTGTAAACCAGAGGAACCACAAGTACACTTAGGAAATATATTTTTTTAAAACATGTGAATTCTTTGCCAATCCTAGGGGACACATCCTGAATTAAAAGATTAAAACCTGTAACTCTAAACACCTTAAAGGACAGTAATTTTCTCATTTAGGCAAATGAGAAAATGTAAGGAAGTTTTCCTTTATGTTTCTGTGTATTATGTAAAGCATGTATGAATATCTTATAAAAACAAAATCAGTTGTCACCTGTGAAATACCTTTTAAGAAACAAATTCAAATGCATTTGTCTGCCTTTAGCTCTTGTCTATTTTACTACAATGAATTATGTCTTATTCAAATACTCTTTGCACACCTTGGAGTGAAATTCTGACCCCTTTGAAGTAAATAGGAATTTAACCACTGATTTTATTTGGGCATTAACATCAGATATTCTACCCATTTAGAGAAGATGCATTAAGCTGCATTCCTCTTGTTTTATTAATATTTGCTACTTTTTTTTTTTTTTTTTTTTTTTTTTTTTTTTTTTTGTGAAGGCATCACCTTCCTTCTTCAAATGACACCAGTGTTTTCAGACAAAATTTTATCAAATCTTTTTTAAGGAGGGCTGACCTAAGCCATGTTTTCTCCAAGAAAATGTGCTGCTTCACTGTTTGTCAACACCTAATAATGAAGGTCACAGGCTCAAAAAAACCCTAATCTGTGGTAAGACAAAATATGAACTTACCTAACAAGACTTACTTCATGTGAATTACTTTATTCTTAGCATAAGTAAACATGAGAAACTACTCTTCTGTTGTAGTAAGTTGTATTTCCCACTTCAGGTCATAACATGGCTGTGAGGTTTTATCGCATAGATATCAAACAGTAGTGTTAGAGTTGTGTTTGCCTAGAGACAGGGAAAAGGCCTTAATGAGAATTATACTTTAGTCTGCATGTGTAGTTCTCCACTTGTGTCAAGGACAACCACAGGGGAGAGAAAAAGCAATCACGCTACTACTACAAGAAAAGCCTCTTGCGAGCCAGATGTAAACAATTTTACAGAAACACACAGGTAGTAATCTGAAAAACAATCAAGAAGACTTTGGATCAAATAGATAAGAAATATACTGTTCCTCTAAACTAATTGCATTCCTCTTTTGCAAATGGCTTCAGCATGGGCTTGTTTGTCAATAGACACAGCCATGCTGTCTTACACCATTTTTTAAAAAACAATCTTCAAATACAACATACATTAACACACAGTAAGGTACAGGTAGAACACTGAGACTCATCATCAGTTCCACGTGTTTGAGTGACATGTGAAAGGGCACCAAAATCACTTGTCCCTTGTTTATTTAGAGCTTCCTTTACATCATGTCTTCCACACAGACAGAAATCTTAACAATGATAGCCATATTATAATTAGGGTATCATACTGATCCCAGATCAGTCATATTTGAATCAAAATAACTTCAATTACCCTCATATAGATTGCTGCTATTACTGATATTAGGTAAGAATTGCCCATGTGGGAGATGATCTCTCATTATCATTTATGCAAAGTTCCAGATCATAAAATCTTAAAGAAATGTGAAGTTCTGTTTGAGGAATGGACCTAATAATGCACCTTATTATGTTGAGGAAAACATGAAACAAGAATAACTTATTACTTGTAAAGAGAAATAAGATTGCACCTGAATTACATCTTACACAAGGCTTGAGACATCAGTTTCTAGCCCAAGGCATGCAACAAACCAAAGTCACCTTTTCAAAGCACACCTTATGAGACAACAGAGGGGTAACAGGAGGAAGGCATTAATTCTGCCTTTTTGTGTTGATCCAGGATGCACAAACTGAGAAATATGTCGGTTTCTCAGCCAGAAACACACCAGGAAAAATAACCTTATGAAAGAAAAGGATACTTTTACATGAAACTCCCTGGTCTAATCTTAGGCATGTGCACCAGCCCAAGTCTGCAGGACCCTATCTCAGAAGGGACCAGTGGCCCTTGGCTTTATTGCTGATAACCTCAAAAGGGTGCCAGGTAAAGAGCTATCACTGGGAGTTCTCTCATTTTGTATTTTTGACTTTTATCATCCCATGTAACAGGGACTAAATTTCATAGGCCTTAGCATTATACAGAAACATTTGATTACACGAAAAGGAGTGAAATCCATGATTTTTTTTCTTCTATCTGGTGACAACTGTTGTGGAGCAACATACTAGTATTATCCCTTTGGCCACAGCAATAACACCTTTATTAAATGAACAACACACAGCAACAGGTCCCCTGCCTTCCAATTTAATTGAAAGTTTTCCTGGCGTGTTTTTTCTAGCAGACTTTACACCTACAACCCCCAAAGAAAGTCAGCGCCTCCTGTTTGGAGGAAGAGCTAAATAGCCAATCTATGGGTAAAAAAGTAGGACTACAACGAAGGCACATTTTAACCTCATTATATGCTAGCTTCCATTCCCAGATGACAGCCAAGCTGCTAAAACACCCTAGACAGCACCCGAGGAGCTCTTAGGACTAAAGGATCGTGTATACACACACACAGACACACACAGACACACAGACACACACACAGACACACACACACACACAGACACACACAGACACACACACACAGACAGACACACACACAGACAGACACACACACAGACAGACACACACACAGACAGACACACAGACACACACACAGACAGACACACAGACAGACACACACAGACACGGTGTAGTTTTCCCAGCGCCGTGCGGCAGCCTGCAGGACAGTGAGCGGCCTTCCAGCGGCACGGAAAAGGCAGGGTCAGGGAAAGTCATAGGGACAGGCGAAAGGCACAGGACAGGGGCAGCGGCAGGGTCAGAAACAGCAACGAGAGCACGGAAAAGGGCGGCAGCCCGCTCACGGGCAGGGCCCGGGCCGGGCCGGAACCGCGGCAGAGCCCGTCCCGCCCCTCCACCGCCTCTATCACCGCCCTCCACCGCCTCTATCACCGCCCTCCACCGCCTCTATCGCCGCCCCTCCGCCGCCTCTATCGCCGCCTCTATCGCCGCCCCTCCGCCGCCTCTATCGCCGCCTCTATCGCCGCCCCCCCGCCGCCTCTATCGCCGCCCCCCCGCCGCCTTTATCACCGCCCCTCCGCCGCCTCTATCACCGCCCCCGAGGCGCACCCGCCCCTCGCCGTGCCCGCCCCGCCCGCCGCGCCAGCGGCGGAAGTGTCGCTACCCCAGTTCCGGCAGCGGGTCGAGCCGCCGGGACGGCTCGGGGCATGGCGCTGTGGCTGCCGCACTCCCGGGACGGCGGCGCCCCGCAGGAGGAGGACCAGGAGCGGGCACAGGACGCCGCCTTCCGCCAGCGCTTGTCAGAGGTGCAGGTACGCCCGCTGCACCGCCCGGCTGCCCCGGCCGTCGCTCCGCGTCTGGCGGCCGGGGCGCGGTGTGGGTCGGTGCGGGCGGCGCGGCCCGCGGGGGCAGCGGGGGGACCGTGTCGGGACGGGGCCGTGCGGGGCCGAGGGCAGGCGGGGGCTGGCGGGCCGCCCCGGCTGGCAGCTGCCCCGTGGGCAGGCGGTGCGGAAGAAGCGGGGCTGGAGCTACCCCAGCGGCCCCGTGCCCCAGCAGCAGACAGGTGGGCGGTGTGCTTCTCTGCTGGCCAGGGCCAGGCGGCGATTTATCAGCGCGTTGTAAGGAATTCTGTGCGGTCTGGCAAGCAGCTGCCATTACGTTACTTTCCCAACGGTGGAATTTTATTCTTGTTACTGCAGAAATAAAAATGCTGTAATTCCTAAAGTTGGAACGCTAAGTTTGATTTACTTGTGTTAAAGTTTCCTCCAGATAATCTTTCACCACTTGTCCTTCGTGGGCCCCTACTAGAGGCTGTCAGCACTGCAGATTTCATAACGTGCAGTTGAAGGCTGAGGAACTAATGCATATGGATGCGTTTTTATTCACTCTTGGTGGGAAAGGCTTGGCATATTACTGAATTCTGAGCACACAAGTAGAAACAAAATAAATAGTGTTGTTTAAGATGTCCTTTTTCTCTCCCAGCTATGACTGGTGACATCCTCAACAGATTTGACCTAACGGAGCATGTGTTTGTGCTGGGCCTTGGCCACTTTATAACTTAAATACCACTTCCTGTGCCAGTTCGAGAGAAGATGTTGGCCATGTTTAGGTACTTATACTGAAATGCAGCAGTTACGTTACTGTTGTGATCTGACATCATAAACCCAATACTTTCTTATCAGGACTGTGTATTCAGATTATTCTCGCACTTGGCTGTTGCTAATGTTCCAGCCCTAAGATAGCCAGAGGGATTTCAGCTGTGTCAAAAGTATTTTTACAGTCTAGAGACTATTACTGATAGCAGCACATGATCCATGATTTTGCAAATACACTTAATAAGGTTAAGGTGACTTGAACTGGAAATCTCTTTCTGGAAGACATAACTGTACATTGCCATGCTTCATCACTTCTGCTGTTATAATGCTGCATATCTAAGGTGCCTTCCAGGTGCATTATTATTAGCTTTGGGATTTAGGCCAGTCTGCTTCTATAGAAACTGTAAATCAACAATTTTCTCTCCATAAATAGCATGTCTGATTTTCTTCACAGACATACAACCAAGGGATTGAATTAGCCTGCCAAAAAGAAAGAGAGTTTGTGAAGCACTCTGTAGAAAGCACATGGAACCTAGCAGAAGCCCAGCAAAAATTTGGTAGTTTAGCACTGCATAATTCAGAATCCTGTGATCAGGAGTCTGCTCAAGCAAGGACTGAAGCTGCTGAGTTGAGATGGAGAGAGGAAGAGTGGAGAAGAAAAGAAGAAGCACTAAACCAGCGGGAACGACAGAATCTATGGAATACAGATCCTGTTAGTAAAGAAGTTTTTAATAAGGTACGACCTACATCATTGTGCATGGAAACAAGTGCTAGCTTCTTTTGTTCATTTTAGTTGTTACTAATCTCTGAGTGTCTTCTGTGTCTTGTACAGAACAAAAACACAGTTATGTCACTCACCTCTGTGCCTGGGAAGGTCATGCAATAGACCCTTTTAGGAGCTGTGCTCAGGCACATGTAGGACAGGGAGGGGTTCAGGACAGCCAGCACAACTGCACCAAGGGCAGGTCCTGCCAGGCCAATTCAGTGGCCTTATCAGTGACCTATGACAAGGTGATGGCATCAGTGGACAGATGAAGGCTTACAGATGTAATTTATCTGGACTTCTGCAAAGCCTTTGATGTGGTCTGCTACAACATACTTCTCCCTTAAACTGGAGAGAAATGAATTTGGTGAGTGGACTGTTAGGTGGATATGAAAGTAGTTGGTTGGTGGCATGCAAAGGGTAGAGTCAATGGCTCAGAGTTCCAATGGACACTAGAAGCCAGTGGTGTCCTTCAGGGGTCTGTACTGGGACCACTGTTATTTAGTATCTTCATTAAGATTAAACAGAGGGATTAAGTGCACTCTCAGCAAGTTTGCAGATGATACCAAGCTGAGTGGTGGTAATCAGACTTAAAAGAAGCCTTCGAGGAGGACCTGGACAAGTGGGTCCATGGGGATCTCATGTGTTTTAACAAGGCCAAGTGCAAGGTGCTGCACCTAGGTTCCCCCATCTCAGCACAGGCTGGGGATGAACAGATCAGAGCAGCCCGTCTGAGAAGGACTTGGGGGCGCTGGACTTGACCCAGCCATGGGCACTCACAGCCCAGAAAGCCACACGTGTCCTGGGCTGCATCCAGAGCAGGGTGGGCAGCAGGGCCAGGGAGGGGATACTGCCCCTCTGCTCTGCTGAGACCCACCCCCAAAGTAATGCACCCAGTTCTGGGGTCCTCAGTTACAAGCAGGGCGCCTGTTGGAGCAGCTCCAGAGGAGTGCTGCAGAGATGATCAGAGGGCTGGAGCACCTCTCCTATGAGGGAAGGCTGGGAGAGCTGAGGTTGTTCAACTTGAAGAAGAAAAGGCTCCAGGGAGCCCTTATTTACCTTCATGTGATCTTTCAGTACTTAAAGCGGCTTTATAAGAAAGATGGAGAAAAACATTTTTTATCACAGCCTGTGGTGACAGGACAAGAGGGGATGGCTTTAAAATGAAAAATTGTAGGTTTAGATTGGATGTGAGGAAGACTTTTTTTATTATTAGGGTATCAAGACACTGGAACGTGTTGCTCAGGGAAGTTGTAGATGCACAGTCCCTAGAAGCAACAGGGGTCAGATTGAGCTGGTCTTGGAGCAACCTAATGTTCTTGCCAGGGCAGGGAGGATCGAAACTCTGTGGTGTTTAAATGTCCCATCCAACCACGAATATGAAACTTAGTTTGCCTCTAATACTGTCTACTGAAATACAAATTATTTAGCATTAACACTTTTCAATAGTAGGATCTCATCTTTGATTTCACAATTTAATTTCAACAGCTATCATTGCCTTTTACTGAGCCAAGCCAGACACAGTCAGGTGATAAATGTGGTCAGCTTTTTATGAAGGGTCCCTTCAGGTGCACAGCATACCAAAATACACACTGAAAAGTGCACCAAAGGTGCACATGTGACATAGAGCAACTACAGTTTTATAAGTGTAACAAATTAGCATAATTAACAAGAATGCCCAATTAGAAACACAGATGTTGAGGTAATTCCCCCTCTTGGTTAAACTCTCTTCTAAAGCCCCCATTCCTCTCTAGTTCTTTATGGGAGAAGAAGTTCTTTATGTTGTCCTTAGTCTCAGAAGAAACTAGATTAGGATTGAGCTTTTGGGTGTGTGTTTTTTCTTTCTTGCTAACTGAGTAGGTATAATTCTAGCTATGAGTCTGTATAGTTATACAATAACAGGCTACGGAGCTACAAATATACATGAAGAATAGATGAAAGGAAAAATCAGTTTGGTATCACTATCACATCTCCTAATTTCATTGATTTATCTGATCCAGGCTGCAATGTACATGATTCTCATGACTAACACATCAGTAAGTTCCTATCTGAAAACAAGTTTTTCAGACTAACTTCGAAACTCTGTTACTAGGTAACACACTTTCTGGGGAAAAAAAAAAAATATGATACAACTCTAAAATTAGAACATAGCCGTTTAAACAGTAACATATTAAAGTATAATAAGTCCTTTATATCACTAAACAGTATGTGTGGAGTTTATGTGATAGTACAATCTTTCTCTTCCTCAGAGCTTTATTAATCAAAAAAGAAAAGAAATTGAAGATGAAGCTGTGTCTGAACCACTTATGCAAAAACATGAACAAAAGATTAGACACTTCGGTGAGTCTTTTTCCAGCATCTTGTGGTTCCTACAGAATCTGTGTTAGTTTGCTCCTTCTTGTACCGAATGAATGCTAATAAATGAAAGACCTAAATGACAGACTGTTCAGTTTTATTTTATCAGGACTCAAGGGATATTCCATGTCAGTGAGAAAAGGCAGGGACATTCCTGGACGAATAGGTCATGTATATAAAAGTGCATGGGTCATCCATGGCTCTCTCCTTTTTTAAAGGTGATGAAATGAAATGTTTTATTAAATGATTTTCTGTCATCTGTTAATCTATAAGGGTAATGGCTGATTAAATGGACTGTTTGTTAACACCTACACTGAGAGTATTTATGCTCAGAATTGCGTGTTTAACACTATACTTAGTTATCCACTAGGTGTCACTTTAGCTCTGTCGTAGTTGTTAAACCCGATTGAGCACAAAGCTGATCTTGTAACATAATCTAAAATTTTTATGGTTCTCGGAAGTGCTTGCCATTGAGGTGGTTTCACGCTATAGTATAGCCATATTTGGAATTCTAGAACAATCAGGAATGAGACTAGGTTGGAAAAATTCTGTTGTTCTTACAAAGACGTTTTTACTAAGTTTTTTGGCCTCTGAGGGGCTTAAAGCTATTTTTAAAAAAGGGCTTTCTGCCCTGTTAGCCTTAGCAAGCCTGTCAAGTATCAAGTAAAGGCACAGCACTGTCAAGAGTATGTAAA